TTCTTACTTTCAGGATCCCCAAATACAGATACAGATAGACAAAACAACAAAATATCTTCGGCACGCTTTCTGACTCAAAACTGAAAGTACAGACCGGGAGGGGAATAGCTAAGCCAATCTCCCTTTTCCCGAGGTGAGGAGACACTGTCCACTGTCTTCCTCACTCCAGGTCACTCTGGTCACTAGGGCCAGAATGCTGGAACCTAGGGTCCCTGGGCACGTCTGCCACTCCCCTTGGTTCCCAGAATACAGACTTACAGGTCCTGTACAGGCACAACTGTTCAGACGGAACGTTCCCAGAGCAGGAAATGACAGACAGACATTAAGACCAAGACAAATCACGAGACATCTATTCTTACCTCCTGCTGATCTGAGGAAATGGGTCTGGGGGTGGCCTGGATCTCGGTGGAACCTCCAAATGTTGGAACCCCAGTTTGGGGTACCCAACGTCCATAGGAGGCCGCTCCCCAATAACTCAGTCCTCAGACCAGAAGATGCAACAAGCATGAGGATTTATTACGTTTTGCAAAACGGACCCCTGCCTCACTCGGAGGGCAGAAGCCCAGAGCCCAGTTCACAGGCTTCTTTTAAAGACAAAGACCACAAACTAGAGAGAAAGCGGCAGTAACGTCACAAGCGGCGGCTATGTGCCAAGCAAAAAAGCGGAGGCTATGTGCCAAGCAGAGGTAGGGGGGGATTTCTGGGATAATTTCCAGCTTTGGGCAAAGAGCATGAAAAAGGTCAGCTCAGCTTGTTCTTAGCATTCAGAATTATTTTTTTTATTTTTACTTCCTTGTACAGTTTTTTGGCCTGAAGGACTTATTTCCTTGTCTTTAGCCTAGGGGGACTGAATTAGGGTCCTTCAACAGTAATTGGCTCTCTCTAGGAACTGAAAGAAAAAGTAAATGTTAATATTGAACATATTTTTTCTTTAAAATTTTTGGACTTATTTTAATGTATATGAGTATTTTGCCTGCATGTAAATGTTTACCACATGCATACAGTGTCCATGGATGCCAGAAGAGGGCATCAGATCCCCTGGAACTGGAATTTCAGACTCTTAGCTGCTATGTTGGTGCTGGGAATTACACTGTTGTCCCCTACAAGAACAGTAAGTGTTCTTAACCTATGAACATTCTTTTCAGCCTCAGTTTTTTTTTTTTTTTGAGGCAGGGTCTCCCTGTAGCCCCAGCTGGCCTGGAACTCATTATGTAGACCAGATTGACCTTGATCTCACAGAGCTCCATCTGTGTCTGCCTCCAGAGTGCTAGGATTAAAGGTGTGCACCACCATTCCTGACTCTGAACATACTTTTTTTTTTTTAAATTATTTTTATTTTATGTGTATAGTATATTGCCTGCATGTATGTGAGTGCACACGTGTCATACAGTGCCACGGAGGTCAGAAGAGGGCTTCAGATTCCCGTGGAATTGGAGTTAAGGATGGTTCATAGCTGCCATGTGGGTGCTGGGAATCAAACCCAAGTCCTCTGCAAAAGCAGTCAGTGCTCTTAACCACTGAGCCATCTCTTCAGCCCCTGAACATACTTTTTAAATAACACAAAATTAACACAGATGGGGGAATCTGTTAAATTGAGTCCAAAAACAACAACAACAAAAATACTCAACTAAATATGAAATAACCTTAGTGAAAATGGAAGCATTACACTTAAAAATTTGTGAAATACTAAAGCAACATTTACAGGAAAATTTAAAGGTTTATGTGGGTATATTAGAAAATACATTGAAAGTTTAAAATCAGTGACCTAAGCTTCCCAGCTTAAGCTAGAATATTGGTTAAAATGAACTCAAAGTAAGTGAAAGGAAAGAAATACAAAGAACAGAAATTGATGAAATGAAAGATGGGCATGCAATAGAAAAATTTGGTTCTATGAAATGGCAAACTGTATCAGTATCTAACTATGAAAGATAAAGATACATTAACAACTAAAGAGTTAAAAAGGGATAGTACTTGCTGTAGATTTTTAAAGTTGTGAAGAGAGTGATATAGGAATATGTGATGTGTGTGTACATGTGCACATGTGTGTATGCACGTGTGTGCATATGGAGGCCAGAGGACAACTTTGGTTGCTGTTCCTCAGGTACTAGCTACGCTTTTTGCTTGTTTGTTTATTTTTTGCTTTTTTGAGATGGCAACTCACTATGTAGCCCTGGCAGGCCTGATTTCTCTATGTAGACCAGGCTGAACTTAAACTTACAGAGATCTACTTGCCTTTCTCGTTGGCCTGAAGCCCCTAGGGCTCACTGTCTGCCTCCCTAGCTCATAGATTATAATCATGTGCCACTATGCCAGGCTTTTTTTGTTTTCTGTTTTTTAAATTTAAATGTGGATTCTAGGGATCCAACTCAGGTCCTTATGCTTGAAGGCAAACACTTTATTGACTGAGTTATCCTTCCATGCCCAGTGGATGATTTTTATATCAACAAATACAATAACATGGATTATGAATTCTGAATAGGGAAGGGTTAGCTTTCTCTTGCTATGATAAAATACCTGAGATAGCTTAAAAGAAGAAAAGATAAACCCGGTGTGGTGGTACACACCTTTAATCCCAGCACTTGGGAGGCAGAGGCAGGTGGATCTCTGTGCATTAGAGGCCAGTCTGATCTACATAGCGGAGTTCCAGGTCAGCTGGGGCTACAGGGAGACCCTGTCTCAAAAAGACCAAAAAAAAAAAAAAAAAAAGAGATTAATTTTGGGTAATGATTTCCATCCATAGTCACTTGGCCCTATCACTTTTGGCCCCCAAGATGTGGCAGAACATGATGGCAGGGAGTTCATTGTAGAGCAAGTTCATTTCATGATAGCTAGGAAGTAGAGGAACAAGGGACAGGATATACCCTTTAAGGGTGTGCTCCGTGATGACCTACTTTCTGCAAGCAGGTCCCATTTCCAAAAGTTTCTGCTACCTCGCAATAGCCCACCCATCCATTCAGTTATGATTCCATTGATGAGATCAGAACCCTCATGATCCAACCACTGCCACATGTCCTCCTTTTATGAGCGCTGATGCATTGGGACCAAGCCTTCAAGGTTTGGAAGATTTAAGATCCATACTACATTAAAAAAAAGGACATATTTGAGGAGGAAGCATAAAAATTTACTGCATGTTAATTAGTAGAGGTGATAAACATTACCATTGAAATCTACCTGATGACTTTATATGCATACTCAAATACTAAGGATCCGAGTGTAACCGACTGTAACTAGTAATAATCAGATATATAGAGATTAAAGACACATGTGCAAACATCTAAGTGTTAGTAGCATTAAAAATGTAGGAAACAGCATATTTTAAAATGAAATGGAGATCTTTAAAGGGTAAAAACTCATTCAATTTTATGTCTTACAGGGTTTATACTGAGTTATTATTGTATAACTGTATTACTTCAACTGTGAACCTAAAAATTTACAGCCACTTTTGAAAGAGATGTATCCTTACTCTGGAAATTGTTACTGGATATGTTAAGGCTATAATGAAATGCTTCTTCTTAAAAAAAAAAAAAAGATCCATACTACAATGGGGGATGGCATCTTCAAGGGTAAAAAGAATCTTTTGGGAACGAAGATAGATCTGTTGAGCAGCCCACTGTTATAGACCTCTGATAGAAATAGTGAGGCTAGTGACTTTTTAATTTGACCTAACTCTTTAAGCTGAACTCAGGAAGCTGGCTGAAATCAGTATCACCTCCACTACCCCTACTAAAACACCCCCATTCAATTATTTTAACACGTTCAGCATATATTACATTTCCATTATGTTAAAAGACATTGAGCTGTGTGTGGTGGCGCATGCCTTTAATCCCAGCACTTGGGAGGCAGAGGCAGGTGGATCTCTGAGTTCAAGGCCAGCCTGGTCTACATAGTGAGTTCCAGGCCATCTGGGGCTACTGGGAGACCCTGTCTCAAAAAAGACCATGAAAAAAAAAAAAAGACATTGAATGAGGGGCTAGGATTATATTTGACATGTTTTAATCTGTTGCATTATCCTTATTGATATTCCAGTTCAATTTTAGGTTGATGGGTTGTTTTTTGTTTTGTTTTTAAGTTGGCTGTTAACTTTCTTTTGTTACAAGCCTAGGAATGTGTAATAGATTCTTTGCTCGCAATTAGAGGAAAATTCTAGCTCATCTTCCACATTTCATGTTCCAGACTTGGAGTCAGACATTTCTCTAATGTGCTGCAGTTGCTTTTAAAAAGAAAGTGGTATTTGGTGGTCATATTCTGATTACTAAGGTTTTTTTTGTTTTGTTTTAATTGAGGAACTCAAAAGATTCTGGAAGCTGGGGATGTAGCTCAGTGTTTGTTTAGCATGCATGAAGCCCTGGTTGGATCCTCAGCACCATATGAACCAGGTGTGGTAGTGCATGCCTGAAATCCTAGTGGGGAATGAGACAGGAAGATCAGATGTTTAGGTAAATAGTGAGCTCAGGTCAGCTTGAACTAATGAGTCCCTATCTTTAAAAAAAAAATTTTGTGGCCAGGTGTGGTGGCACATGCCTTTAATCCCAGCACTTGGGAGGCCAGCCTGGTCTACATAGTGAGTTCCAGGACAGCTGGGGCTACAAGGAGACCATGTCTCAAAAAAAAAGACCAAAAAAAAAAAGTTTAAAATGTTGAGTGTAAAGCAGTATGGTATTTAGCTAAAAGCTCTAGAGTGCTTTCTCAAGTTTATTCATTCAATAAATACCAATTACCTGGTGCTCTTATGTGCTAAAGAGAACAGTGAACAGTATAAGCAAAAACTTTGCCTTCATGAGGGCTTATGATCTAGTTAACCTAGGGTTTTTGATCTGACCTCCACAATGCCTTTTGTGGCTTTTCTCATTAGATTAAAAAAACCACACTAAATAGTCTGTAGTAAAAACCACACTAAATATTGTGTAGTACTGTCAGTTGATACTTTGATAACTCTGTTTTTGTCTTCATGCTAATTTGCTATTTGTGGTATTCCCTCTTTTTTCCCTATATTCCTACAGAGATGACAGAAGAAGAGCAGTTTGCTTTGGCTCTCAAAATGAGTGAGCAGGAAGCTAAGGAGGTGAATAGCCAGGAGGAGAAAGAAGAGGAGCTCTTGAGGAAAGCCATTGCTGAAAGCCTGAATGTAAATATTCTGTGTTGAAAGTTTGTGAGGTTTTTTAGAAATGCTCTTTTAGTTACTTAGTGGTATAGTTGCATTAGAAAGGAGCTGTAGTAGTTTATAGGATTTTCAGTTAACAAATGTATATCATAATACTTTTTTAAAGTCCATGTTGTTGAATTGTTGGTTAATCTAGTTAGAAGCGTTTTTGTTAATATATGCTTCTACCCCACAGATTTTTCAGTTAATGACTTAAAAGAAACAGTATGTTGACAGCTTCTGAAAAGAGTTACTGAGTACTAAGAATCCCACAGGCATCGGGGGTTCACTGCTTACCTTGCCTCTTATATAGGGAGAAAGGGTAGGAAATGAGAGAAAGAATGGACAGTTTTTAAAATAATCAAAGACAGACATGGCAGCATCTATCTTTATCCCAGCACCCTGTAGGCAGAGGCAGGTGGATGGATCTCTGTAAGTTCAAGTCCAGCCTAGTTTATATTAGTGAGTTCCAGGCCAGCCAGTGCTACATAGTGAGAACCTGTCTCAAAAAATAAAAACAAACAAAAAAATTAAATAATCTTAAATTATTATTTGAGTATGTGCAATGGGAATTATTTTAGTTGTTATTGTTAAAGATACTTGCCAGTGGCAGGCTCTGAGCCATCCTCAGTTCTATTTGCTTGCTAATTTGTTGCTTTGTTTAATGTCATGTCTCCTAGGGTTGACAAGGTTGGCTTTGAACTTGTGATTCAGCCTTCTGAATAACTAGGACTGTATACCATCCAATCTAAACCAATGGCCCAGTCTCAGCCATTCTTTATGTTATACACCCCTCTACACCCCTCTATATTAAAAAGGTATAGTGAATTGAATTCATGTAGGCATTCAGTTTACATTGTGGAATCCATTTGAATTGAGCAGCTATATTTTGGAGATGAGAAACTCTTAAGGGACAGTTGCCTCTTGTTTTTGTCCTTTCTGTGACTCTTAAATAACAGGTATTTTAATGAGCCTGGTCTGGTGTGGTCACTTGTTTCAGAGTTGCTGGCCTTCTGATGCTTCTGCCACCAGATCTCAACCTTTGGCTACTGGACCATCTTCACATTCCCATCAAGATAACACCAAAGATTCTGGGACCACTGAAGGCATGTTTCTCTGTTCTGACTCCTTCTACTTATTAAGTATAACTATATCATAAGGATCTTATGCTGAGAGTAGAGATACAGAAATGCCCTCAAATTCCTTTGGTAATATTAAAGAGATGTAACCAGAAATAGTTGAGATTTCACTAATGCCCAACATACTTTTATCTTCAAGGGAAAACCAACTTTTGGTTTAATCCAAAGAAGAGTTTTTCTTAATTACATTTTGTAATTCTTGGTAAGTGATAGCTTACCAAGCTGTCTTCATTAAAAAAAAAAATTTGTCCTTAGCCCTACTTTTTCTCAAATACCTACAGGCATATGGCAGCTGGTACCTCCATCACTGTTTAAAGGCTCACATGTCAGTCAGGGAAACGAGGCTGAGGAAAGAAAGGAGCCCTGGGACCACACTGAAAACACTGAAGAGGAGCCGGTCTCTGGCAACTCAGGAAGCTGGGACCAGTCAAGCCAGCCAGTGTTTGAGAATGAGAACGTTAAATGTTTTGACAGATGTACTGGTCACTTGGCTGAGCACACACAGTGTGGGAAGCCACAGGAAAGTACTGGGAGGGGTTATGCTTGTCTCAAAGCTGCTCAGGGTAAGGGGGACACATCTAGGCAGTGCCTGCCTACTCCATCAGACACCAAAAGTCCCCAGGACAGTGGGGGCACTGTGCACTATTACTGGGGTATTCCATTTTGCCCTGCTGGAATAGATCCTAACCAATATACCAATGTCATTCTCTGCCAGTTGGAAGTTTATCAGAAGAGCTTGAAAATGGCTCAGAGGCAGCTTTTTAAAAAAAGGTGGTTTGGGGAACCAGTGTTACCTAGACCTCCTTCTCTGATTCAGAATGAATGTGGCCAAGAAGATCAGACTAGTGAAAAAAATGAAGGAATCTCAGAAGAAATGGAAGATGAAGACAACAAGGAAAGACAGGAATCTAGGGCACTGGTCTGGCACTCAAAAACCAAAGATTTGCAAGAGAGCCCAGTTAAAAGCTTGAAACAGAAACTTTTGTTGGAGGAAGAACCAACAACCAGTCATGCTCAGGTAAGGGTCCATGATACTGTAATTAAGGGTAATTTATTTAGATTAAGGATTATTTTTTAACTTTTTGTGGTCTTTCCCCTCTATCTCTGCATAGTAAAATAGTACAAGCTCACTATAGAAAATTAGGGAAGTGCAGAAAAGAAGAAAAGAAGCTGGGTGTGGTGGTACACACCTGTAATCCCAGCCTTCAAGAGACTGAGGCAGCCTAGTGAGACCTTGTGTGATAAAAGGAAAAAAAAAGAAATTACCTGCAGTCCTACCACTAAGAGGCAACTGTCAATATTTCTGTGCAACTAAAACATTTTCTTTTAATTTCAAGCAAAATGGACACTCTTCTGTACAAACCTTGTTCATTTCTTCACTTTATATGTAATTTATTGTAGGCCTTTCTCTGCCTATCATATCAGATATGCTTAAATTATTCTTTTTTTTGGTCTTTTTGAGGCAGGGTCTTGTCCTATAGCCCTACCTGGCCTGGAACTCACTATGTAGATCAGGCTGGCCTTGAACTCACAGAGATCTACCTCCCTCTGCCTCCTGAGTGCTGGGATCAAAGGTGTGTACTACCATGCCTGGCTCCACATTATTCCATCTATGAATATACCCTACCCCAATATATTTTTTTCAATTTTTAAAAAATTTTCAGACCACTTTATTTCAACCTGAGCATCTCAATATAAAACTAAACACTGGTGAACTGTTTTCCTTACTAATTCTGAGTTACTGTAAAATGTACAAGTTCTGCTAGCAGTTCAAATTTTTTATGTCTGAAAAGCTTTTCTATAGGAAATGGTAACATGATTCAATTCAAGGAAATGTAAATTTAAAAATCTGTCTTCTATATATACCTTCTAGCTAACCATTTTCTCTCTCTGTATTCAATTCATACTACTAATTTTCAGTGTATCCTTCCAGGGTATTTTATGTAATATAAGAAATACACATATTATTTTCACTACCTTTTTAAAAATTTTGAGACATGTGTCAATGTAGAAAACACAGTCCTTACCTCAAAAGGCATAAAAGATAGTGTATTTTGCAGCTAAATATGAGTGTCCATGGACTGGGAACAGAAATTTAGGTTATCCCAAATTCATGTTCCAGTGAAGTAACAGTATTATGAAGTTTTTATAGTAATCGAAGAAAGAAATCCATAAAACACTTTTCAGATACATTGGTGGGTATACCAGGTAGGTTATAACAAAATGGAGAAACCTCTTTTATAGGCCTTAGATGCTATCTGATGACTTTCTTAGCTTTCGGGTTGGTGGAAGTTAGGAGTCTGTTCACATAGTACAAAAGAATTTATGTAGTAGCTAAAAAGATGTTAAGTCATACACACAAATGAGCAATAAATGGCTACATAGGGGCTAAGATAGCTCAAGAATGTTTGACTCTGGACCTGCAAAATTCTAACCTTTCCACAGTCATTGACATTCTGATCAGTTGATCAGCCTTGTAGAATGTCCAGTGTCAGTGGCTTCTTTCTGGGAACTTAGTCAACACAGGGTCTCATGTAGTCCAGGCTGGGATCAAACTTACTAAGTAGTTGAGGACGACCTTGGATGTCTCATCCTCCTGTCTCCACTTCCAGAGTGCTGGGATTATAGGCATGTTGTGCCATCATGCTGGGTTTTATGTGGTGCTGGGGATGGCGCTCAGTGCTTCATGTATCCTACACAAGCATTCTACCAACTGAGCTACATCCCTTCCTATTATTTCTACAAATGATAATTTACAGGGTTGGAGAGATGGCTCAGTGGTTAAGAACACTCTCTGCTCTTGCAGAGGACTGGGGTTCAATTTCCAGCACTCATATGGTGGGTAACAACCATCCATAATTCCATTTCCAGGGGAATCCATCTCCCTCTTCTGACCTCCTCAGGCAGTACACTCACACACATAAAATAAAAATAATAAATAGTGCTGGGTGTGGTGGCGCACACCATTAATCCCAGCACTGGGGAGGCAGAGGCAGGTGGATCTCTGTGAGTTTAAG